CCTACTCGGTGGACGTTTTCTATAGCTATGGACAGTAAGAGGAGTTGCACTCTTACAGACCATGATTGATGGAAACTTACCATTTTCCCTACTGATGGACTTTTCTATAGCTATGGACAGGAAGAGGAGTTGCACTTCTTACAGACCATGATTGATGGGAAACTTACCATTTTCCCACTGATGGACTTTTCATAGCTATAGACAGTAAGAGGAGTTGCACTTCTTACAGACCATGATTGATGGGAAACTTACCATTTTCCCACTGGTGGACGTTTCATAGCTATGGACAGGAAGAGGAGTTGCACTTCTTACAGTTGATGAGAATTATAATATATATCATATCACCAGTTTCAAGCGTCTGGTCAAAATATTTGCACTATTATAGGATTACTGTCATAGTTTCAAACAGTCATAAGTAAAAGTATCAATGGAGACTAAAGACTTTACATAAGCACATTAGCTTAGTCCCATAATTTTATTATTCTAGACACTATTAAACACGTGGACTGTTCAGTAGAGGGAGTATCTACGACACTGCCCTCTGCGAAGAAGCTAAAATAGAACTCGAAAATCGAGGAACTGGAACAACTTTGAAAGATGTAGAGGAATCTATTTAGCCGACTTATACTGTGTAGCATAAAAGCTACAAGACATCAAGTACGTAATTAAAATTCATTAAAAATTTGAACTAGAATAATGCACATTTACTTGATATGATATTAAGCTCTTAGCATTAGCCACTATCAGTCTGAAAATTTATTAAAAATGGGCCAGTTTCACTCCCCTCTTACTTATTTCAAAAGAGGACGGATAGGTCTCCGGGTGAGCCAGCGTTAGGTTTACGGATTTACAATGTTAAAACCCGGGTTCGATTCGTCGCGGTGGACAGAACGTAGATAGTCCATTGCGTAGCTTTGCACTATACACACACCCACACATATATATAATAAATAGATAGATAGATAGAAGATAATGTGCAAAAACGTTTTTTATTATATTTCATATGATGTATAAAAACAGTGCCTTTAACATGAGGATTAACATCCAAATTCTAACTGAAAGTTGTTATCGATCACTTTGTAATGATGTATAGAAACAGTTCCTATAACATGGGGATTAACATCCAAATTCTAACTGTAAGTTGTTATCGATCACTTTGTAATGATGTATAGAAACAGTATCTTTAACATGAGGATTAACATCCAAATTCTAACTGTAAGTTGTTATCGATCACTTTGTAATTTAAGTTTTTTTCTCTACCAAACCTTAGTGAGGACTAGATTCAAAAATAAGCAAGAGCCTTCTTTTTTAGTTTTTCACCTTTACTGCTGTTAACTTTTCGTGTTTTTACAATACATATAAATTTTGTTCATTTAGTTGACGAATGTTCCAGAAAACGGGGAGGTTAACTAGGCAGTACTTGCATATGTTTATCATGGATATAAGTTACTTGCACATGTCAAATTTAGAAAACGGGAGGTTAACTAGGCAGTACTTGCATATGTTTATCATGGATATAAGTTTCTTACACATGTCAAATTGAGAAAACGGGGAGGTTAACTAGGCAGTACTTGTATATGTTTATCATGGATATAAGTTTCTTGCACATGTCAAATTGAGAAAACGGGGAGGTTAACTAGGCAGTACTTGCATATGTTTATCATGGATATAACTTACTTGCACATGTCAAATTGCTTTTTTCCTACTGAAACTGTCCTTTGAATCATGTGGCGTGTTAACGAACAATACAAAAATAACTCTCGTATTCTTCAAGAAATATTTATTTATGTTTATAAGTACTTTCTTAAGTAGAAAAAGACATTTTGGGTTACTTTTCAAAACCGAAAATTCAATATTTTGTTTGTTTGTTTTGTTGAATTTCCTGAAAAACTACTCAAGGGCTATCGGCACTAACCGTTCTTAATTTAGAAGTGTCAATAAATGTCAATAAATAAAGACAAAATAATGGCGTCAAGGAAATATACATTATTAATTTTCACTATGTAACACGGATTTGAGCTGTACTTTTCTTGATATATGAATTGTCGTTAGGTGTTGCTTCATCTTAACCCCCTCCCCCTCTTGCATACAACACTCAGCGCATTAGACAAAGAATATATAGCTCACCTACGTTCGTAGGCTCAGAGGTAGAAAATCTCTGCCACCCACATAGTCCAGTGAGATCAGCAGGTGAAGTACTGACCCACTGTGCTACTTCAAGAACGGCCTTGACACTATAACGGCAAGTAGAGAATGACCATCTGATATAGCCGAGTTGAATGAGTAAGGTCAATGAAGGTTTAGGGCTATTAATAGCAAACCAGGTCAAACGTAACGCCGAAGTTGGCTTACCCACACTCCTTTCGTTGCTAGGTAGCCATAAGCCATAAATTTCTCTTTTGTTAAATGGTCAAAATGTGAAGAATTCGCCATGTTAAGTGATTGTTGTAAGAAACGTACGAAAATTAAATTTTGTACCTTGAATAGTAGACAAACACAAACACAAAGACTGTCTCTGGCAAACAAGCCTCGTTATTACTAAATAGAACTTTACGAGTTACAAACTGTTGTTCATGCGTACAGCTTTCTAATCTACTTTCGTATTTCATTTGTATCAAATAATGAATTTGCCAATGTATTCAACGTGTAACGTTTTCAATTGCAAAGTCCTTTTTAATGAATCTGCATCTTTTGGATACACGGCTTGAACGTAAGTCAACTAAAGTTAGTACAAGAGGTTTCTTTGAAGGACAGATTTAAAGATTGACAATGATGTGTAGGTAAGATTAGTGTTCTGTTAATGGAAACATTTTTATCATCTGCTAATTTCATGCTGATCGGCTCCTGGTGCGAAACATGGGCTCAAAAAGACCAGATCGAGAGATTTCAAAGGTTCAGGTATAGATATCCCTAATTTTTGAAATAAGGCTAACATAAATAATATAGTAATATCATTGAAAATCAAACTGTTCGTTGTAGTGTTGTTAAACTGTTAGAAAATGACCAAATCAACCATAATACATCATCAAATCAGAGCTTGGTCTTCACGTTTATGCTAATAATCATTTCCAGAAACCAACAGTTGTTGAAATCATTCATTTGCGACCATTAATCAACACACATTTTCTCTATTGTTTAGCTGATTTTTTAGAAATATATTATTGAGCAATATTATTGTTTAGCTGATGAGAGTCATTTGTCAGAATAGAAATATCAATAAGGTATTAATTTACTACTTAAAATATTATTTCGAATTTCAGGCAGTCAATATCAATGGTCAGCGTATTGTTACCGCAAATGTTCCAAGCCCAGAAGGTGGAATTATACACGTGATTGATGGCATATTATATCCAACAGTGGAGAAAGATATCGCGGATACTGTAACCCAGTGCAACAGATACAACAAATTTTTAACACTTCTGGAAGGAACGCAATTGATAGACTTTTTACGTGGGAGTAAGTTTCAAAGATTTTACTTTATTATTTGAAAAGATGCTAATTTATGGTAGATATTTATGATAAATACTTGAAAGTTGGATCAGCTATTTACACATATGCACAGTTGTTCCAAAAACCATGAAAATACTATTTTGGATTCAAAGTTATGCTAATAATAATAATAATAACAAAATTATGATATTTCGCCTTAAGCAAACTCTAATTGAAAAATAGAACAAGTATGTCGGATACGTATATTACTATTCAAATTATTTTTATGTATTTTCATATTCTTCACAACATTTAAAGAGTAGTTTTATTAAGAATTTTTACAATTATTCCTTTAACGAGGATTAAGGCAGGGTGAAAAACCACAGTAAACGGAAAAACTGTCAGAAGTCTGATATTAGATAAACTAGTTCGACACATTCGTGCGTCCTCTTCAGCCTCACGTTGTCTTCTGGCAAGAAGACATTGGTGTATTCTACAGGAATTTTGGTGTCCTAAGGGAATTCCAAGATCATGGGTCACGTAGGCGTTTGCTGACCAGTTTTTTTCCTGCCAGAAGACTGAAGAGGACGGACGAATGTGTCGAAACTAGTTTATCTAATATCAGACTTCTCACAGTTTGTTCCGTTTACTGTGGTTTTTCACTAATTGCTATACACGATATTGTGTTCTTTTATTATTATTTAGGCAGGATATTGTTTGTTTGTTCTATTTCACAATTAGTTGTATGCGAGTTATCAAATAAAATATATTTATGAAACGAAATCTTAATTTAAGCAAAAATTTAAAAATTGGAAAACAACGGAGCCAAATATTCAATGATGTTATTTCATTTACTATAACGAACGTAGCGTGTATCTATGTATGTCACTGAAATAATAAATACCATGTTGCGCCATCTATTGACTGACACCACAAACAAAAATCCATAAATAATTTCACACTTTGAGTATTCAAGATTCAGACAATTAGAAAAATAACATTTCTTTAAAACAAAACACAATTTTAAATAAAAGTACTCTCCTCACAACTAGAACAAGACTTTCACTAGGACTGTACGTGAGGGTTTGATTATATATTTATTAGTGTAATTTGTAAATATAGTACTAAAAAATGAAATTTTTAACTGTTATTTTTGCAAATAAAGGGGTACCAGTTTGAATATACTAAAATATTACAATTTATATCAGTAAAATTTACGCAAATTTTGAGCTCTGTTCACTGAATCAGTTTTTAGAAAATAATCGCTTTTTCTTTTTTTCAATGAGGAGTGAATACTACAATTAGTAATTACTAACAAAAACAGCCGCCCAGAGGGCGGTGTTTCTATTAGTATATTATAAACTCAACAACACACATTTTGCCATAAGCTAAACTTATACTAAATGTTAACCTATTTTAAATCACAAATTGATTTGTTATGTGTCCTTCTAATTTTTCTAATAAAATTTTATCGTAAATACCTTTATGGTTTTATGCGTTTTTATGCTTTGAAAATATCACCATAGAGTGTTATTTAAAGCGTAAAATGACAACTATGAGTATGGGTCACAGCTATAATAATCGAATATTTTCAGGAACGCGAAACATTCGATGAATCTCGTAGGATTGCATGATGCAGAAGATATTTAATTAAAACCCTTTCAAATCAAAGTAGAACCCGTTATAAGTCTTCCAGACAATGCCTTTGAGATTCTTTTAATATAACAAATACTATGCTACTGAGGTTTTTTTTCTTAAATACAACAAATATTTGTGTATTAAACACTTACACTACTTTCAAATAACGGTACAGTCACAACTTTCTTCCATTCACTTCAACACAATCACTTTCTACAGGAGACTTGCAGGCAGGATATAAGTTATAGATCTGATGAGCAAAGGATGTTGCCAGGCAACTCCTTATCATAATTCCTCCTCATGATACAATTTATAGTAATGAAAGTGGACGAGTAACTTCTAGGATTTAACCACAGCTTTGACTTTCTTAAAGTAATTCTTAGGCACACCAACAACGTATAAATACATCGAACAAGAATGAGCTTGCTTAGGTTATGTGTGCTAAGACTAATAATATTACTTTTGACCTACTTTTGTGACAATTCATGTCAAGAGTCAGTGGATTTGATTAAAGCTTGAATTCAATTTATTTATTTTTCTTACTCTGACAAACTTTTTAGGTGGTCCCTACACACTGTTCTTGCCAAGTAATTATGCCTTGTCCAAGCTTTCTGAAAATGAGTTCAATGTTCTAGAGAAAAACGCCACAGCTCTACAAGGTAAGAGTGATTTTCTTTATTTGTTTGTTTAAAATTTATAAGCCATGGCTTTTGCACTTAAGTCTGTTAAGTCGTCCTTAAAAAAAAATTAAAAACTGTGTTTTTAAGCTAAGCCTATGTGTTGGTAAAAACATTGAATTAACTGTGTAACAGAACTTCCTATCACAGAAGCTGTGGAGAATGTATGGCGGATAATTTGTAGTATAAATGTATTAATTTAAAAATATGAATGTTTTATGATAAATGAGCACAAAACAATTGTTTTTCTTAACTCTAGAATTACGATTAGGTTCTTACACATCGTTTTTTTTTAAACCACTTTTTCTCAACTATTATTTATACACCAAAATGCCTGTAGGGTATTGACTTTGTTGGTTCCGAATTTAACACGAGAAGCCGTATTGTATGAAAACTTTAAGTTAATACACACATGGAAAGGATGTTCTAACACAATAAAAATAACGTTTATATTGAGATAAGACATTAATTTTAATACTTTGCAACGCGACATATTCAGTTCTAAACGCTATTTTTTCTTCCTGAGAAAGCATAGAAATGTCGCAAACAATGATTTACAGAATCATACCAGTAATTAATTGGTTTTAATTCCACAATCGCAGTATCTTGACTTACATTTTTGTAACTGTTATTACGGGCCAAGTATTGAAGTACTTATATAATTGAAGGTAAACAATGCATTTTCGTAATAAAAGTAAGAGACCAAAACAAACATATCAATGTACTGACTATTGCAATTTTTTTAAAATGAGATTCATAATACTAAACTTTTTGGTTCTTGTTTAAAAATCGAACTTGATTTTATAGCAGCGTGTTAAACTGGACTGTAAGAGGTGATATTACAAGAGTTTAGTGTGGTTCTTTCACTGCTACTTAACATCATGGCCGTCGCAAAAATAGACGTGACGAACTACTTCGTTCCCTGATGGGACAGTGGTAAGTCTACGGACTCATCAACGTACAAATCCCCCACTTGTTATTTAGTCATGTAATGTGTTATTTAAACAAATCATTGACATACTATATTAATCTAAAGGTATTATTATCATACAGATCACATGCTTATTTGTGACGTATTATAGTCACATCTGTATCTGCATTGGCGTACTCAGTGTACTATAGTAGATTGTGTTTATTCACGTGATGAAAGTATTTAAAAATGCCAGTGTTATTCCGTTCGTGTAGCTCAACTTCCCTGAATCAATTATACTCTTTTGTTGTTGAAGTATTTCTCAGTAACTGGAACAGCACCGAGAGTATTACAACATGGACTTTCATTCCGTGAAACATTTTCAGCAGTCCTTTAGAATTGCTCCAACACTAATATCTCATCTTTTGTAAATTCGGGATTTCATAAACATCTTTGTAATGTATTGTCAGTTTTTAAATCGAATTCATTATCAGAGTCACTTTCGGGTAAATAAATTCTTTCTCTTCTGTTTACTACAATTTGTTTCCATAAAATAAAGTTAAAATATGTCGTATACTCTGGCGCCATCTGTTGGATATTATCCAAGACCAATTTTAACTATCCTGTATGGTGGTCTCCATATTTTCTCATCATTGGTCCCTATGTAAAATTCAATTTCTTTTTAATTATCAAGCAGCTATTGTTATAAAATTTTAGATAACTACCAGTTATATTACCTTTTCGATTAGGAACAGAATAAAAAGTATCCTATGGGAATTTTCTTAACTTATTTTTTAAAGTGACGAATGCAACAATTTTAACCAAAATTTAGGCTTGTACCTAAATTTATAATAGGTAATGAATAAGAAAAGGGTTATACCACCTTTAAAACGTAACGAATACATAATTTGTTCAAAGGAAAATGCAGAGTATAATTTGATCGATAATGCAATTTAGCTTGACATGGTTAAGTATAGATTATACGTTAGTAAACAGAAGGTTTTAAAAATGTACCGGAATTTGGGAATATTTGAGTAAGTTAGTGAGAGTGCACGAAAAAGTTTTTAAATTGAGCATTATATCCATACCGAGAAAAACATTATAATAACTGGTGACCCCTAGTAATCCATAACGCTATACAAGACTATAAACTAAGTAGCAAAGGTTGATAGTGACGTATGATACGTACATATCAGTTAATGACACCTGTTTATTATCAGGGATTCTAGGTGGTGGTGAAATCAAAGTTTCTAAGGATTAATGTATCATATGCAACAATTATAAATGTTTTAGACTATATTAATTTAGTTTTCTAGTTCTGACAACTGATATTTTAAAAATGATCACTGTTTAATCGGTTTAGATTTCTTTCTATACCACCTGGTTTACGGAGTCTACTATGGAGCAGACCTGGAGGATGGTCAGTACCTGATGTCATACTATCGGTCTCTACCAATCAGAGTTAGCGTGATTGTTGATGGATGCCGTAGTAAGTACTTATATGTCTTGAAAAGTTTTCTCGTTTACTCTTTCAGCGTGCTTTATATAATGTGTTAGTTATTACCTAAAGCATAACTCCAGTAAATAATTAGTTTGTCCTAACTGGCTCCCCATTGGCACAGCGGTATGTCTGCGGATTTATACCACTGGAAACCGAGCTTAGATAACCCTGATGGGCAGAGCACATAGAGCCCTTTGTGTAGCTTTGTGCTTAATATAAAACAACAACAACCGTTTTAACTGCAATTGTATATGAATCTGATGGTACACTGCTAAGGTCAATCGCTAATACGCAGAGTCAGTTACAGTAAAGATGTGTCGATGAAAGCAGATCATGGAGTTTCAAAGAATGATAATTATTGAGGATTTTCAGCCGTCTAATGATACTCAAATGTACTGGAAGTAATGCAGTGAAAAATTAGAAACCGCCAAATGTTCAAATTTAGAAAAGCAGGAGTCGACTCACATTCTTTATGCTGCTGGACTTTATGGATCGGTTGCATCTCAGATATCCTTCAATAGGCTCGTCAGTGTAAAGAGTCGACTCCTATCTTAAATACTGCTGGATCTCATGAAAGGGGTTGCATCTCAAATATCCTTCAATGAGGTCGTCAGTGTAAGGAATCTACTTTTAACCTTTTTGCTGCTGGATTTTATGGATGAGTTGCGGCCAAAACATCCTTTGTTATGGTTCTCAATTTAAGGAGTCACACCAAATTTATGCTGCTGGATATTATGAACAGATTCTAGTCCAAACATCCTTCATTAGGGTCGTCAATGTAAATAGTCGACTCTCGTGATGCTTTAACCACTGAAATTTGGTGTTTGATGGAAATCTGAAAAAAACAAGAACAACAGTAAACTGTGAATACAACTGTATCGTTAACCGTGCAAAGTAGATTCATCTGAACATTATTCCACTGTGTACACTGGTGAAATCCTAAGAAGATGGATTATTCAATGTGATGATATATCCATACCATATTGTACATTATGTTCAACACTGGATTGTGATAAACAACGTCGATAATCTGACGTGGCCAGTTCAGTTCTAAGTTCAATTAAACTTTTGGACCTCTATCTTAGGGACAGGACCGAAACTCTCATTACATTTGGAGCTGATTTCCAAGAGGTATAGCAGTATAATATATCAAGTGTGTACCATTGGTTGATGACACTATACTCTGTCAAATGTGTACCACTGGTTGATGACACTATACTCTGTCAACTGTGTACCATTGGTTGGTGACAAGAGTAATGGCAATATACTCTGTCAACTGTGTACCATTGGTTGGTGACAAGAGGAATGGCACTATACTCTGTCAAGTGTGTACCTTTGGTTGGTGACAAGAGGAATGGCACTATACTCTGTCAAGTGTGTGTACCTTTGGTTGATGACAAGAGGAATGGCACTATACTCTGTCAAGTGTGTACCTTTGGTTGATGACAAGATGTATCAGCGACGAAACATCACACGCCTCTTCTCAAAGTATGCTGTCTTAATAGTTTTGGTAAAACCTTTTTTTCAGTAACAGTGGGTAAATACTCTGTCCAGTGTAAAGTAATCTAAATACAGTGTACAATGTAAAGTAATCTGTAGCGAAGCTACGATCCACTATTACTGAACACGAGTTTATATGGAAACAAGTTTCAACACTCTTATGTGTCATCTTCAGTCCAACTTCATTTTCTTCAGTAAATTTACAGGACTTGTTTTAATAAGTATAACACAATAGCTACGACCATTTTTTTTGTTTTATAATCTATGTAAAGACCGTAATCTTAAATTCCTTCTACTAAACTTTAAGAAAATATCTATTATATAAGATATATCTCAACAATGGTAACGCATGGTCCCGGATATAAGTGGCGTTTTGTTGATTTTGACATTCCGCTACGTAGTGGAACAGTTCCAGAAAATATGATATTTACTGTTTACACTCTGTTTAACATGTAGCCAGTAACTGCATGTATGTGATATTCCCAGGGCGTATTTATGAGGCTAACAACTCGCCCCTGTACCGAGCGGACATTCCGGCAAGTAATGGCGTAATCCACGTCGTCGACAGGGTTCTCAAGCCAGAAGATCTTGACTGGTGTGATGGAATCATCTTGCCTTAATGCTCGGTCTGAAAGAAGATTGTGAACCAAATTGAACAAGCAGATACCAGGAGTAACATGCCATTTTAGCTCGAATTTGAGCCTTTTATCTCAGCAAAGCTTATTTTATTTGTTTCAAAACTTAACAACAGAGGCCGAAAAGCGTAATGATATATTTATAAATAAACTGTAAATCGATCAAAAACAACTTACGTACTTTTTTAGGCTTCCAATATTAATAGCGAATGAATAACACAGCTTACATAGAAATTGTAATAAATTACATTTTCAATTATATAACATCAAACGATGTTTAATTTGATCAAATAGCAAAGTGAAAGTATAATAGACGGGAAAAATAATGCTTTGTAGATAAAATAACAAAACATAAAATATATGGAAAATACATTGATAATTGTTAGCGTTTAATATGAAAATACTAGCGTTACACGCAAAGTACCACACACACTTACTTAGAGGCATATTAAACTTACCGTTATAGGATTGTTTTAAACTTGGTATGTTAGCTTCTGGTACGGATTTTGGTTTTGTTGCAATATCAATAAAACTACGTACAATAAACGTTTCATTTTTTGTTTGTAGTTAGAATAATTTCAAGTAGAAAGTTGGTTAATAAGTATCTGTTGTTTTGTAGAATTTTTGACGTATTAAATGTGTTTTACTAAATAAAGCTCTTAAAAACGTACCACGTTTTTTCACTGTGTTAATTTCAAATCATCTGTGGTCTTTTACTTGGCATATTAATTTTTCGTCCTAACATTGGCATTTGAATTTAATATGTTCCAAGTTCTTCAACCGTAAAAGCCAGTATAAATTTACAAATACTGTTTTATTATTCAAATAACAATCTTAAGTGTAAACAGTTATATATCAGCACAATGTAAGCTTATGAACTTTACAAGACACGTTATTCAATAATTTTTTAAAACAATTTTTTACGAAGTTGTACTGAAGGATTTAGCTCTTTCTGCGCTACTAAAGTCTCAGAAAATTATCAAACTATTGTAAATCAACTACGCATTGTAGGAATTTTGCGTTTCTGCTCGTTCTTGGCAAGAAGCAACTAGTTTCGTTGATTATTTGGGTTTCTGGCAGTTGTGACTATTTCATGACCCATCTGCTTGATTTTATCACGAGTTGGAGTTTTTTCTTCGTCTTCACTTTCATAAAAGAATCCAAGATTACCTAAATGAAAAGTTATTAAAATGTAAAAAAAATATAGGTTGCAGAAAACTTAGTTATACCTGATATAGGTTGCAGAAAACTTAGTTATACCTGATATAGGTTGCAGAAAACTTAGTTATACCTGATATAGGTTGCAGAAAACTTAGTTATACCTGATACAGGTAGCAGAAAACTTAGTTATACCTGATACAGGTTGAAGAAGATTCAGTAATAGCCACGCCATCCATCGTGAGTGATGTTCAATAGTTTAGTATAAGCTAAGCTATTTTGCTAATCAAAGAATATTTGGTTTCCGATTGGTAAGTGACTTGGGGGATAATTATTATTTTCCTGTTTTTCATGTTAAAAAAAAAAGATATTCACGGTTTCGATAAGTGAGCTTTTGGGCACAATGGAAAGTAATTGAAATAACTGTCCAAAATATGAAGTATATCAACATCTTATCAAAATGCAGTTTTTTTTTGTGATGAAATACAAAGGATACTCCAAGCAGAGTGTTCATAGCGGACAGGAGATCAAATGACTTGTGAAGTCATAAGCATGTGCTTCTCAGGTGTATAGTTCAATAAAGTTCAACCAGAGGACCTGATAGCTCATATTAGTTCTACCACAGGGTGTTTAGTTCCATTGATTATTGTTAGATGAATCAATAGTTATAATTGGAACACCAGAGGACGTCGAAATATATCGAGCTGATTACTCATACTGATTGTAATGGGTAATAATATATTTAGATTATAAATCTGTATGTTCGAGTAAGTCTTCCGGTGATAATTAATTTGTATTTTATTATAGCGTCCGATAAAAAACGATATTGTCAGATAATTATAAAATAACTAGTTAGGTTATTTATTGGTGTGATGTTTATGTGACCTGGCTTGTGATTACGAAAGTGATCTGAATAATGACCTTCGTTTTGATTTAGATTGCAAAAGTGCCAGACACTGTGTTTACTATATTATCTCTTACAATTTCAATATTTATGTATTCAATAATGAACGTTAAAGAAAATAATGTTTTTGTTTCATCGACTTTTTTTTTTACAGTTTGGCTTTTAGATAACATTCACATAATTATCTATATGTTACGTTTAACTTATAAATTAATCTACCCGAAAAGAACCTTTTTATCTTGCAGTTAATTTATACGTGAAACATTCAAAGCTTAGATATATATATATATATATCCTATACCAAAGTATCATACAACCAAAAAGAAACAGATATGTCCAAACAAAAATGGATTTTATATATTAATCCAGTACGACTGTTTAATTTATATTCAATCTGACATCACCTATATAGCCATCAAAAAGCTATTTTCATCAGTAAGTCCTAGCACGTATGATTTTACCTATACGCTATTAAACTACATATATCCTAAACGAGGCATTTTATGCAAACTAAAGTCAATAATATCAAGCGTTTTCAAAACAGGTTTCTAAACTTAAACTAAAGAGTCTGTAACACCTATTGTTTTTTGCGCTACGTGATTGGATAACTTGTATTATATTTGAACAAGACTATTTGATTCTTCAATAGAACAGCTCTAATCACGAGTCTAAAACAGAATTTTCTATTATAAAAACCAAGTGATATAAATAGCAAACTTTCCATTTTATGTTTTGTCAAGTGGCACCATGTGATCAGATAAAGTGTGTTCTAAGTCAAGTGGCACCATGTGATCAGATAAAGTGTGTTCTAAGTCAAGTGGCACCATGTGATCAGATAAAGTGTATTCTAAGTCAAGTGGCACCATGTGATCAGATAAAGTGTGTTCTAAGTCAAGTGGCACTATGTGATCAGATAAAGTGTGTTCTAAGTCAAGTGGCACCATGTGATCAGATAAAGTGTATTCTAAGTCAAGTGGCACAATGTGATCAGATAAAGTGT